GCATATCAACATGACCTCACCTACGTAAATATTTATTCAAACATTTATGCACTTTGCAGAGGATTCTAGATTTGAAACTGAAGGAAATTACTATGAAAGGAAAACCATCCCAGCAGTTTCCTTCTAAAAACTGCACAGCCTCAAAGACTTCACCTTACAACCAGGCTATAACATCCACAAAAACTCAAAGCTGTTGTTTGATTTTTTCTTGTATTTTATAAAGTCCCAAGCCATTAATCCTTGATGGCGTTTACTTAAAAGTATGATAGATAAATGTACATCAGTAAGTTTGCTTAAGTAGTTCAGTATCAGAGGAACAGGTTTTGAATTAGAATTAGCAGATCTGGATAAATTTAGGAAAAAACCCAAAATTATTAGCTTTCTCTTCTTTCAACACAGCATAAACACCTTCTGCTATTAGGATCAGAAACTAAGAAAAAAAATCCAAATATCCCCAAAACATTTGGTAGAAGGCAAACATTATCTTCCAGCTGTCAATTATCATCTCCAATTAAATGGAATAAATTTCCTCCCATCAATGCCCGAAAAGATGCTCATCATCTTAGCCCAGCCTGCACCCAGGTGTGTTCACATCACCAGTTTGCCAAGGGGTTAAAAACCATGTTAACTGGTATGAACACAAGTGTCCAGCTGCTCTGCCAATGTCCTCATGTGTTTGGTAAATTTACGGTAATTTACCAGTTCCCCTTCACCGAGGAGTAAGTCATCTCAGAGTCGCTAAAGGAGAATACGCACATGAGCTATGACCATGGGACACCGCATTTCAGAAGCTCCCTTCCCAACCTAACCTCGCGGCAACTTGTTTGTCGCGGCGCGCCTGAAGAGGACAGCAAGTTCACCCCACTGAATCAGGGAGGAATTAATCATCCTTTCAAGTACCTGTATTTTAAATGCACAGCAGGCTCATTTAAACACAGCTGGCACAGTGCCCTCTTCTCCAGGCCTTACCTCAGCATTCATGTTTCCACAGTCTCAGACATTGCTAGTAAGGACTCTCACCATTATCTTCTGACCTTTCCCTCTTTTTTTGTCTTTGTAAGTTAATCAGTAACCAGAGATTTCTGCCAACAGTTCGTGCTACTGATTTCAAGGTCCTGTGGCACACAAAGCATTACATGACTCTGTATGTGGCTACAAACATTAGCCATTTATACAAAAAATTCCCTCCTTTCACATTTAAGCTCCCCAACCCTTCTCTACACTATGAATAAAAATGAAAAGGCGTATTTCGCATACTGCAACACTATAAACCAATTATATCATGCAAAATGCTCTTATCCACACCCAGAGACCGTAAGGAAGAAGCCTTGCCATGTTCCTCTGTAAGGAGGCTCAGAGAAACCAAAAGAGCAAGACGTTTTTTACGAGACAGTTACTGAGCTTTAATTTCTCACCGTCATTATCCGCATCAATTTACGACTGCAAACAAGCACAGGCAGCATAAAAGGTGCTGTCTATTACCATAATTATTTTAAAAATCTTCACCTCATAGGGTTAGGAAAAAACAATGATACGCAACACAGCCATAACCATAAAACTGCAGATGGTAGCTGAGCTACTTTGTTCTTGTCTAATACTGAGATCTCATTAAACAAAGTGCTTAAACCTTAAATATTTGAGAACAGAACCCTTTAGTAAGTGCTAGTTAATGCAGTTAAATCATTCTGATTAAGCATCCATTCTTTTGTTTGCTCAGCTTTCAAGCTCATTGTTTGTTATTTCACATTTATTCAGTTTGTCACTTCTCCATTTTCCAGGCTAGGCAGCCCCAAAACTTCTAAATAAAGCATAAAA